AAAGTGGAGCCAGGTTTGTTGTTTTCACTCACATATGCGCTGTACGACTGTTCCTCAAACACAGGTGGGTTGTCGTTGATGTCAGCTACAGATAACTGAACACTTTTAGACGAGGACAGAGGTGGAGAGCCCTCGTCAGTGGCACTGATTGTAATGTTGTAGTCAGACACCACTTCACGGTCCAGTTGTCCTGTGCTCACCAGAGAATAATAATTCTTAATAGAAGGAACTAATTTAAAAGGAACATTTTGCTGAATGGAGCAACGGACCTGTCGGTTATTCTCAGAGTCTCTGTCCTGCACGTTAATGATGCCCACCTCTGTACCAGGTGGGGTGTCCTCTGGAACGGGATTCGTCAGTGACTTCAGATTGATTACAGGGGCGTTGTCATTCACGTCACTGATAGAAACTATTACTTTGGCATAAGAAGACAGTCCTAATCCATCTTTTGCTTGGACGCGTATTTCAAACGATGTAGTAGCTTCATAGTCAACAGCTCCTTTTACTCGTATTTCACCTACTTTACGGTCAATACTAAATAGTTTCTTCACATCTTCAGTTACATGTCCAAAATCATAAGTCACATCTCCATTCACTCCTTCATCTGCATCACTAGCGCTCACTGTGACCACGACAGTATCTAAAGGAGAGTTTTCAGGAAGACTGGCTTTATAAACGGCCTGACTGAACACTGGGGCGTTATCATTAGCATCCAGTACAGTGACGTGTATCACTACAGTACCTGATCTCTGAGGAGATCCTCCATCTAGAGCTGTGAGGAGCAAATTTATTTCCTTTTCCTTTTCACGATCAAGCTCTTTATCCAGAACAAGCTCTACCGTATTTCCATTAGCAGCCAAAATGAAATTCTCATTCTTTTCAAGGCTGTACTGCTGAACTGAATTTTGTCCTACATCCGCATCGTGCGCTTCCTCGATCACAAAACGAGCTCCCCTGACTGCAGACTCACGAATTTCCAGATTCACCGAGTCGTCGTTAAACTGAGGAGAGTTATCATTGATATCTTGAATGTGAAGACTAATACGATGCAGCTCGAGTGGATTCTCCAGCACAAGCTCATGCTTTACGACACACGAAGCCTTTTCTCCACAAAGCCCCTCTCTGTCGATCCTGTCGGCAACAATCAGCTCTCCGTTGTTCAGGTTTATGTCACAGTAACGTTTGTCAGTCCCATCGGTGTCAATGCGGGCTCTTCTGCTCGACAGAGCGCTCTTCTCCAGTCCAAGATCCTTGGCCAGATTTCCAATAACCGATCCGCGTTTCATCTCCTCTGGAAAGGAATAGCTCAAGTCTCCATATGCGAGGCGGAACCAAAGGAGAAAGAAATAAAACCTGCGCGTTTGAATCAGGATGATTTTCGAATCCATCATCAACGACGAGTTATTAACACGCTGAAAACTAAATTTAAAAAAAAATAGAGTTAAAGCGCACAACACGAACAGCAACTGTAATGTCAGGGTGGTTGTCCCTGTCGAGACACAAGAACACAAGAATGTGCGTCCACACCAAAGGAAAGAGGAATTAAAACATCTTAAGGCTGGTGTACAGCGCCACCGTGAGTTAGGTTTAACACAAACACAAATTTAAAAAAAAAACACAAAACTGACTACTTTCAAATGTTCGTTTTTTTTAAAAAAAATCTAAATATTAGACGGAGACTGCTGCGATATACATTGATTATTTACAAATGCAGCTAATTTATAAAATCCAAAAGTACACAGGAAACTCTTAAATGTGCATTAAAAAAATGATATCAAATGCATGAGCAGTCCCAGCTGAGTCATTTATTTTTTGTGAATTCAATGCATGTTTCGTAAAGAAAGCCAGAAAGAGGGAGAGATATTCAGCTCGGGGCAGCACTTGTTCTTTTTTATGGAAAATAAGACTTGCACATGTAATTTAATTTTTTATGCAAAAAATGCGTTCAAAATCTTGTAAGAAAGGATATTTGTGAGCGCTAGTCCTTCAATAAAGAAAACTCTGTTCTTCTCTTCTGTCCTGATGGTCTGCAAGGACCAAACTGTAAATGAGATGCACAGACTGAATACACTTCATGATGCGAGAGTAGAGCGTGGGAGTCTTTCAGTCCAAGAAAATGTAGGCAGACAAATATGTTGTATTTTGCTTTGCTTGTTTAAAGAAAAAATGGCAATTTGAGCAAACTTTGCAGCAACAAACTTGCATTACACTGCAGATCTACAGATGCTATGGAAAAAAAAAGATTACAGCCCCTTACCATGTCACATTTACTTATAGAAAAACTGTGCCAGATTTTGCACTCCTTTGAAAAGAGAGTAAACTTCCTACATACAATTTGCATATTGTAAGTGATTATCAACAGGACAACTGCAGGTGCATTAAGATAACAAAACCAACAGACAAAGGAGTAAAGCTGAGACACAAGTGAAGACTCAGCTCTTCAAAAACAAGTCATTCCACATAGAAAACCACCAGAGTAACAGTTAGCAAACTCACTGTAGCAGAAACACTATTTGTATTACCTGAAAGGAAAAATTACTTCTTCTGTTACAATGACATATACTCAGACTGGATGTTGATAAACAAAGTGACTGATATTCTGGACTGAATGCAACAGTTTCACATGTTTTTAGATGATACATTGCATCTGTGAAAAAGTTTCAGCCAAGTTTTGATGACAGTACAAAAACAAGCTTCCTAAAAATGAATGTCACTTTATCATAACTTCAGATTAACAACTTTCTTTGTGCTAACCAAATGACCACAATGTCTTGTCTACAAATAAATTATCAGCCTGAGAAAGAGGCAGCAATATCCATAAAACTAGACCAAGCATCAAATAATACACCTGGTTTCATACACTGGCAATATGAAAATGAAACTGTCATTACTGAGAGAGGGCCACATATTTACCAGAAATACAGCCATGCAGGTAAAAAATAAATTGTAGTCAGGTACCTTCTGTGACCCTTCAGGGTAATCTTGTGTCATCATCTCATTATCTGTTTCTGTTCCCTGTCAGGATGTAATGCTAACCTGCTGATCTGCACAGCTGGACTTCCTGGGCCAAAATGTTCAGATTCAGTTCCCTAAATAAGGCCACTGTGCTGCAGAACAGAAGAAAATAGAATTCCTTTACTGCCATTGCACACTGTGCGACTAAATTAAGCAGCAATCCTGCAAGTGCATTTACACAACCAGATATTTTTAAGTATAATAAGAAATGTGCAAATTTAAAATCCAACATCTAGTAGAAAAAGGTAGTATGTGCAAGTGCATCTATGAAAACAGTGGGATTGCTTATTCTTTTAAGAATAGTTCATTTGATAAAATAGGAATTATAATAACAATAGTGTGACAAATGCTGCATTTCTGGATACTGCACATTGCTGAACATGTACAAAGAAGTATGGCTTAAGTTGTGCAAAGACTACATACAAGGTGCAGTAGTATTTAAACATATGCACATGTGTAGTTTCAGTAAATAAACACAAAGTGCATCAGGTAGGAGTTAAATTGATAGATTGTTTATATGTTTCAGAATATTCCCTCTCTTACATGTACTTTGTCTTTGCTGATACTGTTGGATTGTATCCTGTGTTCTAACAAGGAGCAATGACTGGAGATATATTTATCGCCACAGTCTGAAGATACACACGTAATTCTCAGTCCTTTGTTGAAATAAAGATCTCATAATCATTTTTTGAAACTCTGTGTTAGTAATACCAGCTGAATTATTAATTTTCTTGTGAAATGAATGCATTTTTGTTCATTCTAGTCCTGCGGATATCACCAAGTTTGCAAAGAAACCCAGAAATAGGGAGAGATATTCAGCTTGGGGCCCCACTTGTTCTGAATCCTCTTATTTCTGAAGGAAAAAAGAGATGCAGATGCAGTAACTTGCATATTTTTATGCAAATCACAAGATCAAAAATCTTTTAAGAAAGGAGATCTGTACACACTACTCTTGCATTTAAGAGCTCATACTCTGCTGAGGATCTGCAGGGACCAAACCATGAAGCTGATGCATAGATTGAATGCATATGTTGATGCAAGAACAAAGTAAGGGAGTGGGTTTATTTTTTTAAAGAAATGTATGCAGACAAATGCTGTGTTGTATTTTGCTCAAGAAAAAATGCAATGACACTTAAAGAACATCTGTACAAATTTTACCACAACAAACCTGTGTAACGCTACCGATCTACAAATACTGTGGTGATTAAAAGTTACTACTATGCCTTGTCATTCCACATATAGTTTAGATTGACTGAAGCAGACTTTGCACTCTTTTCTAAAGAGAAAAACAAACTTTCCACGCCATCATTACAGCAGACATACAGGATGCAGTTTGTCTGTGTTTACCAATGAGACAACACCAGACACATTAGATCCAGCACTTACTCTAAACAGAGAAAATAAAACAACAAGAAAGCAGGTAGTGAAAACTATTCACTTGAAATCAAGTCAGCCAACAGACAAAACAAATTAAGTTGTCAAAGGAACTATACCATAAGCACTGTTTGGATTACGTGGCAGGAGAAATCCCTCATTCTTTCACTGTGAAAGACCACATATGAAATTCAGACTGTATTTTGATTAACAAGGTGACTGATACTCTGCCAAGTCACTATCTGAAAAAAAAGTGTTACTGGTCTGACAGCACATTAATGAGCCTTGATCTGCACCGTGAAAAGAAAGACATGACTAATAATGTTATGATTAAGTTGAAGTTCAATAATAAATCATATCACTGAACTGGCACAATCACTGCAATGCAAAATAATCTCTGCAAACAAAAATTGCAATCAAAACTAGAATCTTCAGATTTCTTTGTCCTTTTCTAAAATCTGTACACCACAGACAGCAGCAAACCGCAACAAAACTCAAAGAAAAAGAAGTCCACTGAAAGACACCTGTTAATGAGGTGTGGTGGACTGGCTCCAAACATAAACACCGACATATGGGTGATACTGTCTACGAAAACAAGCAAAGGGCAGCGTGTCTGTTTCTGTCTTCAGTCATGTAGATGCTTTTATCCAAAGAAACACACAAATGACATATTATGTAAGCCAGTAGATCAAAAAGAGATGAAAAAAAAAAAATGTCAGGAAGGGTTGAAATTCCAAAAGTTAAACAAAGTTGCA